ACAGACGCACCATTAGAAGCCACGTGCCTCACCCCCACCTCTGCGCCTCACCCCCACTTCTGAGCCTCACCCCCACCTCAATGCCTCACCCCCACCTCAACGCCTCACTTCCACCTCAACGCCTCACTTCCACCTCAACGCCTCACTTCCACCTCAACGCCTCACTTCCAGCATGGTGGGGAAGGATAGTCCAGTCGTGCACCTGCAGTGCCTTGCACGCTCCCTGGGGAGCACGGGGGGATGAGAAAGGGAGGCGGGAGAGAGAAGGCACGGGTGGCATGAGGGAGAGGGAGGGAGGAAGAGAGGGAGGGAAGGAAGGAGGGAGGGAGGGAGGGAGGGAGGGATGGAGGGAGGGAGGGCGGGAGGGAGGGAGGAAGGAGAGAGGGAGTGAGGGAGGAAGGGAGGGAGGGATGGAGGGAGGGACGGAGGGGGGGAGGGGGAGAGGAGCATAGGACAAGTTAATTGGCTGTGCGCAAAAGACAAATGCGTGCGTTATTGTGATTTAAACTGCGCAAATGACAAACTAAAGCGGGAGATTCGAATCGGTCGATTAGAAAGAAAGATGGATGGACTTACATGGACTAGGAGGGGTTGGGTGGATAAGGTGTAATCAGGAGGGAATCCATCCAAATCAAGACGATTTTGGATGGATATATTTGGATCAGATTGGATAGGTTGGGGATAAAAAGTCAACACCCAACCCAACAGAAAACAAAACTCACTAAAAGCCAAAGACCAAAGCATGATGCAGCCTATTCCAACAGGAGAGAGAGGGAGGGAGGGAGGAAGGCAGGAGGGAGGAAGGAGGGAGGTATGGAGGAAAGGAGGGAGGGCAAGAGGGAGGGAGGGGAGAGAAACAACCCCTCAGCTTCTGCAGCTCATGGAATAAGAAGAAATGAGGAAAGCGGGCTGAGATTGGATGGATTGGCATGTGTGTGTGACCGACCAGATGTAAGCAGCGAGGGCGAGCAGCATCTCCTGCGCAAACCCCGGCTGCCATGCAGGGCACCCTGCACTGCCCTCCCACTCCCACTGCCGCCTTTGCTCCCTCTGATGGCATCACACCCCACGTTGGTGCTTTGAATCACGCAGGCCAGCTCAGCCTGGTAGCTGTGAAGTCCTTCACTGCTGGCATCCGTGGCACACCACGCCCCCTGGGGTGATCTGGGGCACAGTGGCACGGTGTGAGGGGAGAGGAGAGACGGAAGAGGGGAGAGGGGACAGGGGAGAGCGGGGAGGGAAGAGGGGAGAGTGGACAGGGGAAGGGGAAAAGAGGGTGCAGGTGGGAGAGGGAAGGAGGTGTGTGGACATCACCAGCAGCGCTGGGAGCATGGGCAGGCACTGTGGCATATAGAAGCTGCACCTTCCTCCCATCCCATCACATCCCATCTCATCCCATACCATCCCATATCATCCCATCCCATCCCATCCCATCGCATTCCCTCCCCTCCCCTCCCCTCCCCTCTCCTTCCTCCCCTCCCCTCCCCTCCTCTCCCCTCCCCTCCCCTCCCCTCCCCTCCCCTCCCCTCCCTTCCTCTCCCATCCCATCCCTTTGTCCTCCTCTCCCCTCCGTTAACCTCCTTCCCAGCCCATATAAACCGTCTGCCATGCACCTGAAAGCCGAGCCTGCTGGCTCAACCTGAGCTGCATGTCGCCCGTGCCAAGCGGCACGTCCACCACCAGCACGTCCCCCACTCCGTCCGTCCCCCTTACAAGCTTCTCCACCGCCGCCATCACCATGGGCCCGCGCCACACGTGAGCAGGCATGAGGAACGGCAACATGAGGAAGCCCATGGACATGCAGAGCACGCCGTGCGTCTACAGCAGCAACATAGGCGCATGGGGGGGAGGGCGAGGCGAGCAAGGGGGCGGCCAGCAGTCTGTAGGCCCAGCGATCAGGGGGCGGACGACGGTGTGCAAGCCGAGCATGTTGGGCAGTGAGGGGCCCAACACACCGGCGTCCAGCAGCCCACCTGCAGCCGCATGTGGCGGGCGAGGGCCACTGCCAGGTTCACTGGGGAGGAAAGAGGGGGGACGGGGGGTGGGGAGATGGGGGAAAGGGGGGGGAGCGGGGAGCGAGAGGTGGAGGGAGGAAGGCAGAGACGAGCAGCCCCACCTGCAGGCTGCAGCGGCATGTGGCGGGCGAGGGCCACTGCCAGGTCCACTGCAGTGGATGGGAGACGCGGGAACAAGGGGAGATATGCATGGGATTACAGGCATGGGGAGTTAGGTATATGGTGGGAGGGTTTTTTCGAGCAGCCCCACTCCACCTGCAGTGGCATGTGGTGAGCGAGGGCCGCTGCGAGGGACGGGGAGGGGGGATGGAGGGCGGAGGGGGTGGCGGGTTTAAAGGAGAAAACATATGTTAGCGGTTTTGGACAGATGTGGATGGGAGGAGTCAGATGCGAGGAAAGGGGCGAGAGGCACAGTCCAGTCTGAGCAGATGTGAGATGGGGGAATGGGGGATGTGGGAATCGGGAGAAAGGAGGCAGGGGGGAATACGGGCATGGGGGGGAAAAGGGAGTTGGCGGTAAATGGGAGGAGGAGGGGGGGAAGCGCATGGGGAGAGGAGCAGAGAGAAAAAGGCAATCCTCCGAACGGCATCGAAGACAGTGGTGATGTAGAAAACTCTCAAAAGCGGCAAGTTGACGATTCTGTTGATGACCATTTGATGCGCCAATGCCGCCTCTCGCAATCCACGCTGTGCTCGGGATTTCTGCTACCGACTGCGTGGCACTCGCTCGATTTGCCGTCGCCAAGCATTAGGGATGGCGGGCAACAGAACTAGTGCGACTCAGCTCATACCGTATCCAGATGACTGGGGAAAAAAAGACGTTCCTCCTGACACGCTAGCCTTCATGACCTCACAGGCAGCTGCGGAAGTTTCGAGAAAGGAATCATGGCCATTTTTAAACAGCAGGAAGGTTGGCAGGACGCCGCGGGAGGGAGGGCGGGAGACAAAACCTATCTGCTGTTTCTCTCTCTGATGCCTCCTGCTGTCAATTGTGCATTCAAGCTTCTCGCGACGGTGGCTGAGGCGTCGTCACAGGGGGATTGCGGGATGGTGAGGAGGAAGACGAAGGATGGGGAGGAGGAGGAGGTGCGACAGTGACCTTTCCTATTTAAAGCGGATCTTGCGAGAGTAGAATTAGATGTTTGAGCATCACGTTAGTGGCGGCATCGTGCCGTCAAAGGCTAGTAAATTTGGCACGATGAAACTCTGCACTGTCAACTCTACTAGACCACTCGACGATTCTAGATTGCGATAAGGTAGGTCGCGGGCTGAGCGGCTAGACCGCGGGCTGACAGCTAGTTTGCTATCTCGCTATGCTGCCAGGTCGCCAGGTAGGGTCGCTAGTGCCGTGCCATAATAACCTTTTCAAATATGTTACTTGCTCTTTGTATGCTGGGAGGTATTATCTATGTAGTGCTCATTGGGGTTGCGTTTGGTTCCGTTATTGCGAGAGAAAATGAAGAGGTCGGTGTTCGTCAAACAGGGTCAGCCGCTGTCCTGATTCGTCTGACTCGCAGACCTGGCGCGATTTTTGGGTGCTCGACATGCCCTGCTGGAAGGCCACGCCACCATCGAAACTTTGTCACCTTGGAATTTGCGACAGCAGGGTAACTTGACGAAACAATCGCATATCGAGATCCACACTCCACGGTTGAATGGAAGGTCGCAGCTCCCGAATTCGACGAGTGTCAGCGATGTTGGCCTGTCGCAGCCACGAAGATAAGAAAGTGGCAAGAAAGTGGGACTTCATCTCCCACTTACCACCTCCCGCCACTCTCTTTTGTAGCTTCATTACTTAGCTTTTCCCAGATTCCTCATCAACTTACGTCGGCACTCCGGGTAACAGTAGTAGTTTCTTAGTTTTAATTCGCGTTTCTACTATTGACGCTTAGAATAACAGCTAGCACACAGCTTTCACAAGCGCCGGTCAAAATTACTAATCTAGGGTTTACTGGAAGGTCGCTGCACCATCGATGGCAACGGACGCCGCGGGACGCATCACTCGGCTCGGCTTCTATTGACGCTCAGAATCCATACTACTAGTTGCGCACAGTTGACAGAGCTTTTTGTAGTACTTTTTGAGTATAGTACTCGTCGCACACGATGGCAATGGACGACAAGGGACGCATCATTCGGCTCAGCTTACTCATATTTCTGACGTGTCTCGCCGTGGTTTCTCCAGTCCGCTGTGTCCCGTTCGCCGACTCCCAAGGTTCGTCCGACTAACGAACTTGGCGTTTGGGACACAAATTCCTCGGGCTTGCCCATCATACCTGTCTGCTCTAATGATGTCTGGTGCAGGGTTGGAGAGAGAGAGAGGGAAGGCCAAGCGAAGTTGATGAGCTGATCAATTCATCTCTTCTTCACCCCCACCCCCTCAAAGCAGTTTTGTTTCTCCCTCTCCCCTATTCTTTACTCTCCTATTCCATTGCTCCCAATCTCCTCCCTGCGTGCAGCCAGCTTCTGCTGCCGGAACTTTCGGCAGGCATAGCGCGGTTGATGTGTGGGTGGCTTGCTGCCACGGGTGGATGCAGCAATGGCAAGGGCTGCAGCTCATTTACGAAAAACTTTTACCTCGGATACTAGTGGTCGTGGTTTGATCACTCGCTCGAGTGACTAATGGAGCTAGAAAATTCTCATCCTCAACGACACTTAACCCCTATTTGACGTACTATCCTGTTTACGCCCCCTATCTTCAGTGCACCAACTTTATCAGCGGATGAATTAGTGACTACGGCATGCCGATGCTCACATGCGTAGTGCTTTCTATGTAGCAATTGCAATCTCCAAGTCACATCTGAGTACTTCACCATCGCATGTTCCATTCTGCAGCCATGCGGCACACGTTGGTGAAAAAAGGGAGGAAGAGAAAGGTGCCACACACAGGTGATGAGAGCTGACTTATCCATTCTCCATTCCCTGCCCCATCCCCTCCTTCTATCCGTCTCTTGCCCCCCTGCTCCTCTCCCCTACCATCTGCCGCCAGTGCAAGTCTTTCAAGACTTGCAGCAAGCGTTGGGGGTGAATTACTCTAGTTGGACCTGCAGCCTGTCCACTTTGTGGTGCGATGACCAAGGCATGGTGATCAGCATGTGAGAGCACCAACTCTAGCTGGTCGTGCGTCCCCCATGTGCGCACCATCTCTTGCTGGCCTTAACTTGGCTTCCTTTTCTCATCTCTCGCTCCATCATTCAGCATGTTCTGTTGTTGCAATCCCTTGGTGCATTTCCATGTATTAACCCTTGCTGGCCATGCATTCACTGGATTTCTTTGTGTGTTTCTTCGTTCTTCACTTGCACTCCCTTGCTTCTTGAACCATGTATCCCACGGTCCTCCTCTCATCCAATCCAATCTCACTACCTGCTTTGGTGAATCCTTTGAAATTGTCCCTTCTTTATTTGAAGTCATGTTAAGGCTATTTAAACCTTCAAACAAGATTGAAAATACGTATTTCATGGGGGATTTGAAATGACCTCGCAATCGATGTTCTAATATTTCTATCATTTTTACCATTAGAAATACGGAGGGAGAGAGAGAGAGAGCAGTGGCGAAGATGAATGTCCCGCCCTCGCTTGGGCGCAGCCGATCTCACCGTCGACGAGGGGAACTCGACGAAGGGGTCATTGAGTGGGCTCTTGCTGTTCGACGGAAGTGTCGATGGCGTCGACGGGCAGCTAGTCAACAACATTGGTCGACGAGCACGTCGTGAGGCACTGATCGACGAGGCGTGTCGAGGAGTTCTGGTTGACACGCTCTGCTCGGTAGGCTTGTCTCTACGATCGCTATTCGACCGAGCAGCGTCGAGCTGGTCGACAGGAGTCGCTTGAATACAAAATTCGACGTGTGGCCGAATCTCGCCTGACATGAACGCGGGAGCCTTCGTCGAGATGGAGCGGGGCGGCAGCTTCAAGCACGTACGCGGCTTCAATAGGTTAATTCAAGTCGTCAAAGACCGCGGCACCGTCGCGCTGCAAGGGGAGGCCGAGAAACAGGTCCTTATCCCCGGCAATCTGTACGTCCCAGGTGTGCAGGTGAACCTGCTGTAGGAAGGTCAGCTGAAGGATGATAGTGTGAAGTTCCATGACGAGGGCGACGAGATGCTTGTGGTGTTCAAAAAGGGAGATGTGATCGTTCGAGCACGCTACGCTAGCCATGTCGTTTGCACCGACCTTCGCCCCTGCTCGACAAATTGTTGTCGACCTCAACGGAGACCGTGGCTTTGCGGACAATTGCCTCCACGACGAAGTTGACGCTGTACGCGCGCTCGACTCGCGCATGTCGGCATCAACACCATCAAGAGCTCAGCGAAGCATGGGGTTGCCGCCGGTCTCGACATCAAACCGTCGACGGGAGCCGACCTGCCGTGTGTCTCCAGCGTCGGCGGCAAACTGACTCGGCACACCTTTCCTGACAAGGGCTCAGAGCCTGAGAACGCCCTCGATGTCGTGCACATGGACGCCTACGGGCCATTCCGTGTGACTGCCAAGGACACCAGCTTGTACTTCCTGCTGCTTCAGACAGGAAGACCCTTTTTTTGTGGGTTCGCCGCATCGCCAAGAAGAGTGACGTACTGGTGGTGGCTCATGGTTGTGTAGCGGCAGATCAAGAAGTCGGTGCTGATGCTCCGCTTTGACCGCAGTGGTGAGTTCCTAACGAAATGTGTTCAACGACTTCGTCAACGGCAAGGGAATCGCCCACGACTTGACCTACTCGTAAAACCCGCAGCAGAACGAGATGGCTGAGCAGGAAATGCGCACGGTCATCGAGACCGTGCGGACGACGTTGCTTCACATGGGCATGAAGTACCACAGGTGACTGTCAAAACTAGAGCTTAGAATCCATGAAATAGTAGTGAGCTCAAAGCTATTTAAGGACATCAGAAATGAGCAAGGTATGGATGGGGAGGGAATCGGGGGCAATCCTAGGGAATTGGGGGTAATCCCAAGGCAATCTCCAATTGGTGGGTTGGAGATTGCTTAGAGATTGCATTTGGGTTTGGTTGGGGTGTAGGTGTACACCCAACCAAACACAAAGTGCAAACTACACTAAACTAAGATATAAAAAGTACAAGTACAAATTTGAGATTGACGGCTAACATTAACATCCCCCCATAGGCGTCAATCGAACTCATGGCAGAGAAGGTGAAGTGTAGAGCCCCATGGCGGCTAGAAGGCGACGGTGAGGAACCTTCCCAAGAGGCTTGGTGAACAGATCAGCCAAGTTGCAGTCAGAAGCCACATACTCTTCATTGAGCTGCTCCCGCTGGACAAGGTCATGGATGGAGAAGTGCCGAAGTTCGATGTGCTTGGTGCGAGTGTGATACACAGGATCCTGGGAGAGGTGGATGGTGCTTTTGTTGTCACACCAGAGGGTGGGAGTGGGCTGAGGGTAACCAAGCTCCTGGAGTAGGAAGGTGAGCCAGCGGGCCTCCTCAACCGTCATGGTGCCACCATAGAGCTCTGCCTCACAGGAGGAGAGGGAGACTGCAGACGACCGGGTGGAGCGCCAGCTGACAATTCCGCTCCCAAGGGTGAAGCAGTAGCCTTGGGAGGAGCGTCGGTCGGTCTGGTCATCAGCCCAAGAGGAGTCTGTTTAACGTTCCAGTTGAGGAGGAGAAAGCCCACCAAGGGTGAGGACATGAGACTTGGTGCCCTGCAGATAGCGCAGCACACGTTTTGCCGCTTTTCAGTGAAGGTTAGTGAAGCGTCCAGGAGCCACATAGCGAGAGAGGACACTGAAAGGGTATGCCAGGTTAGGCTGGGTGCACATCATGGCGTACATGAGGGACCCAACAAGCTCTGGGTATAGCTCAGTGCATGCCTCTGGTGTGGGTACAACTGGAGCTGTGAGGAGGTGTTGTAGCGGTGAGGTGGTTGTAGGTGTGCACAACTCCATCTCAAACCGTTTGAGCATATTGTTGATGTAGAACTCATGGGAGAGTGAGATGGTGCAAGTCTGGCGATCGCGAGTAATCTCCATCCCAGGTAGTGTTTGAGGTCACCGAGGTCTTTCATCAAGAGGGCCTTGCTTAGGGCCTCTTGGACAGAGGTTATCTAGGCGGAATCCTTGGCAACGAGGATGAATTCATCGACGTAGACAAGGATGTAGAATGGCTCAGAGTGACGACGAATGAAGAGGGTCGGGTCAGCTGAGGATGGGTGGAAGTCCATTGAGAGAAGGACTTCCTTTACTTTCTTGTGCCATTCACGAGGGGCTAGCTTGAGGCCGTACACGGGGCGATTCAACTTCCAAACAGTGGTGGGAGGGAACTCTCCTGGAAATCCTTCAGGTCGATCCATGAACACAGTCTCCTTGAGGTGTCCTTGTAGGAAAACCGAAGAGGCGTCCACGAATTTTATCTCAAAATCTTCTCGTGCTGCCACATCCAAGAGCGTAGGAACGGTGGGTGGTTTGGATGTGGGGGAGAAGGTATTGAAGAAGTCAAAGTACTGCTGCAGAGTGAACCCCTTGGCCACGTAGGGCGTTTTCAACACTGGGGTCTCGTCTGGAAGTTGATTCACTCGAAACAACCACTTGCCCCAACGATGTTGACTCGGGGAGGTGGAGTTTCGCCGTCGAAGGAGTGGTTGCGAGAAAAGGCTTCATACTCAGCTTCCATGGCAGCACGCCACTCGGCAGCATGTGGACACGAGAAAGCCTCTTGGACGGTGAGAGAGATAGGGATGGTCGGGTTCTCCGAGAAGTTGAGTGAGGGTGATTCAGTGCTATCGAGGAAGATGTGCGAGAGTTGGGGAATGAATGCGCGAAGATCACGCAGCTCCTCATGCCTGTCTTCCAGAAGGGTAGAAGGCACATCCCCCCCAGCAGGAGGAGGCAGAGTGATCACTGAGCATCGAATAACAAGTGCTAGTGGAGGAGCAGCCCCATGCGACCGAGTGCCATGAGCCACCGGGGAGGAGGGTGGAGCAAGCGGGGCCGGAGGGGTCGGTGTAGGGGGTTTGTGTGGAAATTCACTCCACAACGGTAGTGAGGTAGATTACGGGGGTGGGCACGAACTACTAGGAGTGATCGTAGCTCTGTTTAGTTCTTTAGTGCTTGGGTATTGACGGGAGAAATCGAGAAGAGTTTCACTAGCAAAGTTGGATCTAGAAAATGATACACGTCACAATGACAGAATCAGGCACCTAGCAACTCTGCAGCTAGCCTGGTCGACCGCCAGCACTGCATGGTCGACCGCCTACCAGCGTTGTGTAGAGGAGCCCGCGCCAGCACTGCAGAAAGGCGACCTCCCAACACTGCAGGTCGACGGCGTGCCAACGCTTCAGCAGTGCGACTGTCCAGCGTTGCCCCGTAGAAGACAGCAGTGCGCACGCTCGCAGGTGTGCGCAGACGATTGGCCCGACTTGCATTGCTGTGCATCCGTCGGCTCTTGTCTGCGCTTAACAAGCCACATCGACTTCAGGATACCAGCCCGATGTCGCCTTCGTCACTGCGACCTCGACGGCGTTCGCGTGCCTCCGCAGAACCCGTCGAGCAGGTTACCTGGTCGACCTGGACACCACCGGGTGCTCCGGTCGACCACCAGGTCCCCCGGTCGACCATCAGGTGCCTTTGGTCGACCACCGGGTGCCTCTGGTCGACCACAGCTCCTGTCGAGCTGCCCCCTGGTCGACGGACCCCTTCCGTCGACCAGAACTGTCAACGCTTGTTGCCGAGCTCCCCTCGTTGATCGCTGCTCACATGTCAGGTCGACGGACTGCTCCGTCGACCTCCTGATCGAACTGCTTCTCCTGGTCGACGGCCCACCCGTCGTCCAGCCCAGTCAGTTGCAGCTGTGGAGTTCCCTGGTCAACAGCAGCGCCACAGAGGTCTCCTGCGGCTCGACGAAACCCGCCGAGCAGCTCTCCCACTGTGTACGGTCGGCTGCTTCCCCCCGTGCATCCGACCAAGTCGTCGGCGTTGCTCAAGCGAGGGCGGGGCCAACACTCCATTCCCGTTAACAGTTTGCGCGGAGGGATCGGTTGACGCTGGTAGGTGATCAGTTTTCTTGGTTGTGGGAGAGCTGGTTTTTGAGTGGAAGAAGGAGCGGGGGAAGGAGGTGGGGCTGGAGGGTTCAATCGCCGATGGTATGTGATGGGTGCGCTTGGTGGTGGGGGCGCAGTTGGGATAGTGGGAGAGGGAGGAAATGGAGGAGCAGCTGCCGAAGACACCGGTGAGGTTGGATTAGAGATCTCAGAGGGAGATGGTTCGATGGCAGGTGAGGGAGCTGGTGTAGGCGGAAGTTCAGGAGGTGCATCGAACTCAGCCCACACGAGAGAGGATGGTCCTAAGGGGGGATCCCTTCCCGAGGTGGAGTAGAAGGAGCGGGTCTCATCAAGGACAACGTCGCGGCTTCGGACTAACTGTTGAGTGGAGGGGTTGAGGAAGAGGTTGTTAGGATAGTCGGCGTTGTGCCCAAGGTAGATGCACGTTTGAGTCTTGGGGCCGACTTTACCACCTTGCTGCCCTCGAGCCTGAGGGTTGAGGAGGACATAGGCGGTGCACCCCCAGACTCGAAGGGGGCGAGCAGTGGGTGTTTTCCCGAGCTAGAGTGTAATGGGAGTGGTGTCGGGAAGATGCGGGTGGGGGTAAAGGTTGTAGAGGAGGGCAGCATGGTAGAGGGCGTATCCCTAGAGAGAGAGAGAGAGATGAGTGTGGGAGTGGCTGAGGAGCCAGCAAGCGATCTGCACCAGGGGGTGGTTGCGGCTCTCTGCTATGCCGTTCTGCTGCGGGCTTTCAGGAAGGGTGAAGTTTTGCAGAATGCCTTCTGAAGAGCAGAAGGCTTTGAGCTTGTCGTTGCAAAATTCACAACCACCATATGAGTGGAGGCGGTTGGCCTTGCGGTCAAAGGTGATCTGTGCCTGACTGACCCACGCCATGATGGCCTCTCGAGCCTCAGCCTTAGTGTGGAGAAGGTGCACGGAGACGTAGCAGGAGTGGTCATCAACTATTGCAAGAAAATAGCGATGGCCGCCTCGTGCGGTAACAGGGGCAGGGCCCCAGATGTGCATATGCACTAGGTTCAGTGGGGCTGCTGCAACTGAGGGTGAGGCAGGGTGGGGCTATTGGCACAGCTTGCTCTTGGTGCAATCAAGGCATGAGGGAGCGGGGGAGTCGGGTGGTGGAGGAAGTGAGGCTGGTAGTTCGAGAAGTAGCTTCTTGGATGCCATGTCATCAAGTGTGCAGGGTGCCCGAGCCGATGGTGGTAGAGGATGGTTGGATTAGCGAAACTGCAACATGAGCATGGAGTGATGTCAGCCTGTGCTTGGGTGGTTGACACCTGTGCATTAGATACACGCTATGTGTAGAGGCCACTGTTGTTGAGGGTGAAGCGAGCTAGGACCTTGTTGATGAGTGGGTCAACTCTGTAGCCTCCCACGTAGTTCAGCTCCCACGGTTGTTGAGTGAGTCCCCGCAAGAAGGAAAGGCACAAATTTAGTAGTTGATATATAGAGGGAGAAAGAGAGAGCACGACAGCACAGTCTTAGTAGTTCTATCATGCCCAAGCCAGAGAACTAGTTGGCATGCCGAGGGGCATGGCAGTAGTTGTAACTGCAGCAGGTTTGTATACGAAAGGAGTTCTTCTATAGTTTGTCAAGAGAGAAAAAGAAAAATTGGGTGAGTGGAATGCTATGTGCTTGGAGTTCCCATGCAAGACTCCATGTGGGGACGGGATTCACACTATCAGTGCCATTTACTAAAAGCAAGTGCTCTCCTTCGAAATGTCACCAGAGAAAAAAAAACATCCATCGGAGAACGTAGAAACGGAGTGTAGACGTTTGTAAGCTGTTCTAGGTGTTACTGATGTCTAGCCTACCTTATCATCCCCCATTCTCTTCTCAAGGTCCCTCCATTTCCGTTCCGTGGCTCATATTGAACGGAGTTTAGTGCAGAAAAAACGCTACCCCGATGCAACTCGCGGGTTTCTATCATCTCCGTGCATGTGTGCATAGGTGGATGACACATGGGATGCATCGGCCTCTCCTACTCAAACAATACTCAGACCACCTTTATGGATTCACAAATGTCTCTCTTTCCTTTCATTTTTCATCCCATTTCCTCAAAAGATCTATTATGTTCCCCATCTATTACATTCCATTGCCCACCAGGCATTTGATTGGCGGCGATGACTTCAACGGATCCATTCCAGATTCCATCAGTGCCTTGGACAGGCTGACCCATTTGTGAGTATGAGTGGGAGCATGCACGCATGAGTGTGAGCACATAGACATGGGCTTATGCACAGATGAAAATGAGTAAGAGTTGAGCATTTACCTACATTTAACCAACTCATGACGAGCCAGGGGTGACGATAGCCAGCCAGTGGTCAGCTTGTCAGGTTCGAAAAATGGCCCCCCTTGCCAGATTCGTAGTAAGCCTACGTACCAGTGTTGTGAGTGAAATTCCAGTAGGGTGAAAGTGGTTGGGAGCAAGAACTGTTTCCATGACATCCTCCCAAATTGGCAAAGCGTTATTCCATGTTCAATTCAATGTAGCGAACACTTGAGTTTTGACAACCAGCGACACGACTCTAGCCATGAAGTGTAGCTGAGGGAGCCATACGCTTGTGTAGCTTGCCCATTGCCAACTTGTCAAGAGCGGAATGTAAATAGTTTTTGCATATACCAATCAGTTTTTGGGCGTACCAAGGAGATTTTTACTCAACATCAATTGGGGTTGAAAGATACTCATCAAGAGAGTCCGACGCCATTTACCCTTCTATGTCATTGTCCCCATCATCACTGGAATCTTCTACGCGGCTGGCTCTGCTGCAGTGGCAGCCACTGCAGCAGAATTTGCTGCAGTAACGGCCGGCAGGTGTGGGGTCCGTCCTGATTGACAACTGTGCCCCTCGTGTTGCCAGCCACACCTTTTTTTCAGCGCTGTAATTTCGGAGAATCTCTCTACACCGACGGGAGCTGAACTATGTGGGAAAGCACGGGTGGTACAAATATTCGTACCTTTGCCCATGTTTTCTCTATGTGCGCATTCACATGGCAGATATGCAAGAGATTTACTAGCAAAAGGATTACACAATGATGCAAAAAGGGCAATCGTGACTACATCTGAAACCTAGCAATCTAGCACACAGAGAGGTCGGCCTCCAGCGCAGCACAAGGGCAGTGTGCCAGTAGTGCAAGTCGACACCGCGCCTACATAGCTGGGAGACGGCTTGCAAACGTAGCAAGTCTGCGCCCTGCCAGCTCTGCACCAAGACGGGCCTGCCAACGTTGCAGCAAGGCGGCTTGCCAGCGTTGCAACCGCAGGTGACTATAGCGTACATGTGCGCACCTACTTCGCAGGTGTTGGGCTACGGTTCCGCACGTCGTGCACCGTCGCGCACATCACGTAGGTGTCAATTTGGCCACGCCTTTTAAGTTGCGCCAAATGTGACACATTAACCTCGAGATGCCAGCCCGCAGGTCGGCTTCGCCAGAACCTCCTGGGTGACGTCTGCGAACCCTCGCAGGACTTCGTCGACCAGGTAATCAAGCCGATCAAGTAATGTTTCGGGTGCCTTCAAGTCGGCGCCTGTAGGTTGACGCGTCCCTTCATTGACCGCCCAAGTCGAAGTCGGCCACCGACTTCACCTCGTGGGCGGCTTCACAGCAGTGCCGCAGAAGTCGACCAAGTTTGTAGACAGTAGTCGGTTGTGCCTCTCACACACTTGACTGAGAAGTTTTCTTCACCCAAGCGAAGGCGGAGCCATTTCCCATCAACAGCCCCTTGCCCAGCTCTCGCTAGGCATCCATACACGAGGTCCATCCAGAACCCAAGGTATAAAATACACGGGGAAAGTCGTTGGCATGCACAACAAGCTTAGGACGCCATTCACCGCACTAGCCATGCTAAAGGGCGTGGCACCTACTACCGCACGTTATAATTAGCGTCGCTGACGTCGGCCAGCCTCACTTGGCCGATTGCGACGGAGCACCTGTTGAAAGTCAGAAAGTGCAACGCCTTTGTCACGAAGTCGGTAGGCTGCTGGGCGGTTGGGACATACAGCAGCGCGATCTTCTTGCGCTTCAAAACAGCTGTAGCTAGACGTATTGTTCCTCCATGTGCTTGAGGTTGCCCTTCAGCTCCAAGTCCTCGGTCCCAGCGTCCACGCAGCTGGAACTCGACGAGGGAGAAGCGAAGGTGACGAGCCTTCTTGCCGGATTCGATGGAAGTGATGTACTCCAACTTGGTTAACGAGAGCGTCACACCAACTTGTCGCCAACGTCGTCGCCATCCGCATAGTCGACCAGGCGGAGTGTAAGAGTACAGCGACCGTGCTTATCCATTATTGTTTGTTTTTTTCTTTCTTTCTATTATCACTTGTGCTAGTTATCACTTGTTGCTCGTTGCTTATTTGTTTTTTTTTGTTATCATTATTATTATAATTGAAGCATCGAATGAGCTTGCATGCACCAAATTCTATTTCTTTGTGATTATTTCCCGCGTGAATCTGTGTACACGTGATGTCGTCGAATTTATTTTACCGAATTCGAGAAGGTCCTGTTCTTGATGCTTCGTGAAATTGGAACCTTCTCGTAACACCTAGTTACCTGCCTTGTATCGTGTCTTGTATCGTTCATAAATAGATTGGCAATGGTGACTACATCTAGGACTTTGCAATCTAGCACACAAGCAGATTGGCGTCCAGCGCAGCACGGGAGGGGGCCTGCCTGCTCTGCAAGTCGGCGACCGCGCAAACACAGCTGGGAGGCGGCTTGCCAACGTAGCAAGTCGGCGACCTGCCAGCTCTACACCAAGGTGGGCGTGCCAACGTTGAAGCAAGGTGGCTTGCCACCATTGCAACCGTAGGTGACTAAAGCAGTTGCGCCAGATGTCACACGTTGACCTCGGGATACCAGCCCACGGGTCGACTTCGCCAGAACCTCCTGGGCGACGTCTGCGAAACCCCGCAGGACTTCGTCGATCAAGCAACCAAGTCGACCAGGTAATGTCCCCGGCGCCTCAAGTCGGCGCCTGCAGGTCGACGCGTCCCGTCGTCAATCGCCCAAGTCGAAGTCGGCCGCCGAATTCATCTCGTTGGCAGCTTCATAGCGCTGCCGTGGAAGTCGACCAAGTCTGTCGATATCCTTTCTGAAGTCGGCTTCGCCCACTGACAGTTGTGTTATAGTTACAATGAGCTCAAATGTGCCTAAAACAAAAGATAGAGTGCTTAAACATATTTTGGTACATCGGCTTCAAACGTTCATAGCGTTTTGGTCACAACTCCAATGGCATCCTACAAGTTGAATTTGGAACGTTTGAACATCATCTGCGATAGACAATTTGAATCGCACGATTTCATCAAGTATTGACGACACAACATCAGATTGAATGAACGACACCATGGCAGTCACTATAGTCTTATAACACAAATTAGAAAGAGTTACAAGTTAGGAATGACTCCCAGTATCTATAAACCCCAAGAGCCGAGGTACAGTGATGTGGAACAGTGCTACATTGTCCCCAACCATGACGGGTGTCAAAATTACCATTCACAAGGGTCTACTCAAAGAAAAATGTTACACTACACATTGTATATGTAACTAGTGAGAATAGTGACAAACAAAAAAAGTTAGAGCAAACCACTTCGGTTCGGTTCGACCCCCATGCAAGGTTCGAAAAAAGCTGAGCAAACATGTTTGAGTTTGGTTCGTGCTCATGTTTTAAGAATGCGAGAATACTTACACTACAATGTGAATATCTTGCATGGGAATATCTAACACTACACCTAAACGTATGACGCATCTTAAGAGGGAGATGTAGTGAATGAATAGTAGTGTGGGAGCTTAGGAGGAGCAGATCTAGATCTGCTCTACCTAACTTACGATCTTAGGGTTGGCTGCCGTGAAATGGCATCCAACCCCACTCCCAATTTCGACGGGAAGGTCGAGTGGGTTCTGGCGGGGTCTAATTCGAACCCCGCGAAGTTTGAAAATTGCTGTTTCGGACTTCGAACCGGTTCGGTTCGAAGTTCGAAACTGAAACCATAAAAGTTTGCTCAAACGGTTCGCGTGAGCTTTTTTAAGGTTTGTGCAAAAACTTTTCAAGAGAAAAAAAGTTCGGTTCGTCTAAATTCGAACTGGTTCGAGCGAACCGAACCTAGGTTCGGTTTGCTGCTCATGTCTAATTCTCACGATATTGAAGTTTACCTAGGGATGAGCAAAGGGCGAACACGAACATGTTCGTCTTCGCCCCTTGTCGAACACCCTCTTTTGCCGAACTGAACACTGTTCGGTTCGGCGAACAGTTTAGGAAAAAACAGGTGTTCGCCGTTCGCCTGTGGAGGCGTGTTCGGGCGAACCTCGAACACTGTTCGTGTTCGTCGCGGGCAAATTTCAGCAGCGGCCTGAACACGAACGTGTTCGGGCGAACATCGAACACTGTTCGGCGAACGATTTGAGCTAAAAAACAAAACCTGTTCGGTTCGCCTCGAACGTTCGAGGCGAACCGAACAGGTGTTCGCCACCTTGCTCATCCCTAAGTTTACCATTTTATGGCGAGTTTCGAAATCACTAAAATCTTGAAACCACGGCTCTGATTCTTCACTATAAACTCATTTTTGAGTTCTTAAAGGGTCTACAGCACACATGTGCGACACGCCAAACGTTCTACACACGACAAAACAGGAAATGAACACGACACGCAAACGACGACGTGACAAGCGACTAGCGATAACACACTATTGCCTCAACACACACATTCAACATGATGATTCGTCATTCACACACTATTATAATCATCAAATTTATTCACCCTAAAGACATCACATAAAGATTTTTTTTTGCGACAATAATTATTTTCGTCGGAGGTCTTTTCTTCCAAATATAGAGAAACCCTAGGTAGCGAAGCCAGATTGATCATTATATGGTCTGAATGTTAATATTTGTCTATCCCATGATCCCATCGCTGCGTTTGAGCACATTTGTTTTTGTTCGCCTTTTGTCACATTCAAATGTGGGCGTAGCATCTTCCACGTCCATTTATGGCTTTTTCCGTGTAAGCTATCATGAATACTTGTTCAACCCTTATTCAAACTCCTCCACTTCAATATCCTCCCAACTACTTACTAAATCCCACTATTTTCTTGGATGGAACCCGTTGCGTGTATGTACCACCAGGGGTCTAGAAGATTTCAATTTGAATGGGTCTATTCCATCCACCATCATCAACATGAGCAACCTTG